CATCTCTTCCACAGTCAACAAACATAATTCATATTAACTTAAGTATTTTAACTCAAATATTTATACATGTCACCATCATTACATCTATGATTGAATGTTTTAATCACACTGTATCCATAGTGTCAGATAAACAGTCTTCCACACTGTTCTCCACAGGTCCGAATTTATAAAGCCCTGGAGAACTTTAATGCATACAGGGAGTCGTCGACTTATTTAGTGACATTCATATTTATAATGGTTGCAGTGTCCCGGGGTCATATGATCACATTCTGTAACCTTCTGATAAGCAAAATGAATGGGGAAGTCAGATTCACTTAACAACTGTGTGACTAACTGAACAACTGCAGTGATTCACTTAACAACTGTGGCAAGAAAGGTTGTAAAATGAGGCAAAAGTCAGTTAATAAATGTCTCACTTAGCAACAGAAATTTTGGGCTCAATTGTGGTCGTATGCCAAGGTCTACCTGTAGTTGAAGAACTCCCTTCTCCATCTTTTCCTTCTTCCTAGTAAGCAAGCTAGCTAACCAGCCAGCCAGCCAGCCAGTCAGCGTTTCTGAATTTTAAGATCTTTTTTAAGACCTCAGTGTGCCAAATCATTAGTCCTCCTTAAATGATCACATTTGGGACCGGAACAGTGGTGGGTTATGACCGGTATCCTCCAGTATGGGTGTACTGATGCCTGCCAGGAGCACCGGATACCGTTCCGGTATGGTGCTTTGGAGGGCCCCACCAGCCCGTCCATCATCCTTACCTGTATTTGAGCTCTTCGGGGCTTCCGCGTCTGCTGAGCAGCTGGAGTGCTGCAGAGGCATCACAGAGCGTCGCAGGAGGTAAGGATGCATGTACGCACTGCACACATTCATGTGGAGTATGCCGGGCCCCATTGCACCTTAGAGGTTGCAACGGGATCCAGAACCCACCACTGGACTGGAACTTGATTGTTATGTGAAATGATTGCTAAGTGAAGCTACTATTGTGTTTGAAATAGAACCTTAGCTTTCCTTTTACTTTACAGACCTGCGACGGTCATAAATGTGAGAATTGACTCAAACTAATGAATACTACCTTTTTACCACCATCATTATTGCACACTGTCACTGTCTGTGTCAGTTGCTAAGCGAGGACTATCTCTGAAGAGATATTTGACCACATGAAACAGGCGTTAGTGGGGTAGGCACCTGATCTGGTGAAATCCTGTTTATTTATGAAGCCTCTTTAAATTATATCTTACTTAATTTTTTCCAAAATTTTAAATATTTTGTTTGTTTTCCCAGAGCCTAAACAACAGCTATTATAGATGGTCTATATAAAATACAATATGCATATCGTATGGCTTGAAAAATGAGACTTGTTCATGCTCGATTTTGATTGTTTCAATGAAAATGCTACTGGATCAGATAGATGCATTCCAATTTATTTCTACTTCGCTCTCATCAGTTGTACTATTCTGCAATTATAAACAAGTCTAAACAGAAGTCAGCTTTAATTTACAGAAATTAATATTCAAGCAGCACCACAATTAGGAAAACATTCACAAAGACGCATATATAAGGCAAGCAATCCCGCCCTCTCATACTCTCAAATAGATATATATTGGTATGGGAAGAATAAGCAAATATTGATTTTTTGCTTTTTCTAAATATTTTTGCTGCTTCTTAGTTTTTCCTCTTTTTTATTTAACTTTTCATTTATTTTAAGAGGCTTACGTTGCCAGATTTGCATGTAAATTAACTTGTAATTTGTAGAAGAGGCTAAGTAAAAAAGAGGAAAAAAGACAAAAAAGAAGAAAGAAGAAAAAAGGCATTCAATGATTAAGTATTTAAAATTCAAATTGATTTCAGTAGATAATTAATCTTAAATGCTGTTTGTTTCATTTTTTTTAAAAAAAAAGAGAGATGCAGTTCTGAAGTCTTGACTGCACTTATGTACATTGGTGAATAACATTCGGATAAGGCAACTACCAAATGTCGGTCAAGAAAAGAACATATTAATTTGGCCAGGAGAAAAGCTGATATCTGCCTCATATGTAACTTATCTCAATGGGAACTAGTTCACCCCACACAGGCTGGCAGAGAGGGCCGACTGGGGATCCTGTCAGTCAAGGGATTTCAGCTGGGTTCAGCAGAAGAGCCTTCTTGCTGTGGCTCCTGCCCTCTGGAACATCGTACCCTCAAAGCAAGCTTGGGTCCCACCCTCCTGACTTTTCATAAGAGCTTTAAGACCTGACTCCGCCAGATGGCAGTGGGAGACCTTCACACTGGAAGTGGTTGACTAATTAAAAGCTAATCCTCCGTCTCCCTCCCCTGTATCTAGCTCCCTCCTTCGCCATCTTGTGTTCATAATTTTAATTTATCTACATTTTCATTTTATATCTGGTGATTTTAATGCTTTTATAGTAGTGTGACACATCATCATCATCATCATCATCATCATCATCATCATCATCATCATTATTATTATCATTAATACTTATTCATTAAACATGAAACTCAGCCAACTGAACATTCAAAAATGCATCACAAATACCATTGACTGGTGTTAATGGTTGATACGGGTTGCTGCCAGTGTCCTAGGTATCAATTAAGTATCTTCTTAAGATATAAGATGTTCTGAGTAGTGCAGTTTTTTGTAGTTCTGCTGGTATTATTGCAGGAAGCTGCAATTTGTTGGTGTATCTTATAAAATTCTTGGACATGGTACAAAGTGCCCCGATGACTACGGATATCACTGTTACATGTTTCATCCATAGTCATGTACTTTCGATGGTTGTTGTTGTTGTTGTTAGCATATGGCATAGTTATAGTAGCCAGGGGACCACAATGCTATTGCAGAGTAGTAGTCTGGCTGTCCAAGGTACTAGCCCTGTGATAGGACAAACCTGTGTACTTCCCAAGGTGCACCACAGGAAGGCGAGCTGGCTTTTCACCACAGAATGGTTCTTCCTGCAGCATCACCCAAGGCCCTGTCTCTTCCCAGAGCGGGCTTGCAAACAGGAGCTACAACTGGGAAGGTTCAGAGCCGTCAGGATTCTGACTGCATGATCAAAGCACAGTTCATCTCCCGATCAATGTGGTACCTATCAATCTACTTTCACAGAACATACTTTCAAACTGTTAGGTGGACAGAAGCTGAGGCAAGTGACAGAAGTTCACCCTCCTCACAGTACCTGGGCTTGAATGGCCAGAGCTGAGACCAGCATCATGAAGCCATTGAGTTCCATCCTACTTTGATGAGGGGGAAAAAAGTGACCTATAGATTACTAGATGATTATGACTGTCATATGCTTCATAATGTGGGGATTTATGAAGATCCCATAAATAACTTTGCAACAGTTTGTCAAAAGTATAAATATCTAATATGGGTATTTGCTGTGTGAAGACTATAATGATTTAACAAGCTAACTGTCTTAATTCAATTAATAGCCAGCATTTCTGTATCTTTATCACTTACATAGCTTCTAACATACCATTTCAGAGTGGCAGTTTATAGGGTTGATAGAACAATGAAAAAGTGAGAAATGTTATTAATAAATGACCACTACAGGACACTGTCAGGATAAACAGAAAAATGAAAGATAAAAGATGAGCTGGATTGTTTTTGTTGTATTTTTTAAAAAAAAATTAGGTAGGATACTTCCACAAAATTCCATTTAAAGAGCAATTGTTCACACACAGAACAGGTGAATTGAAGATTTAAGTTTCAAATAAAAAATAATTGGACAATTAAAGCCAATAGACCAAATTTAATACTGAGGTTAAAAAAAAAAGAATAGTTGATTCCATTGTTTATTTCTGCCACTTACAATACTTGGATACTTGGGTGTTTACAATGGGCAGAGTTTTTAACCTGTCAGTGTCCCTCCAGGAAAAAGAAATAGCCAGTATGTATTATAAGCCCTTCATCAAGTGAGTGTTCAGGATTTCAGAAAAGCTATTACAGCATTAGAGATGTCCAAGCCCCATGAGGAATGGCACAAAGCCCCAGCAGTGGCGATACTCACGTTGGCAGTGGCCCCAGGCGTGGCGAGCCCAGCCCCAGCAGCAATCCACTCTGCTCCCAAAACGACACAATCCAGTTGTGGGAAGGATCTGCCTAGGCCACCTGCACCAGCACCAAAAATAAGCTTTAAAGAGTAAGCCCAATGAATCAATTCACATTAAGTTACAGATCAAGGGTGTTAAACTCAAGGACCGCGGGCCAGATCCGGCTGGTGAGGTGTTTAGACCTGGCCCTTGGGGCTGACCTGGAAACAGTGAAGGACCAGCCCTTGGTGCCTCTGCCAGATGGAGCTTGGGAGGCCTGCGTGCGGCCCTCCCAAGCTCCGTTTTCACTGGCAGAGGGTTGCAGGAGGCCGTTTCAGCTGAAAACAGAGCTCGGGAGCCCATTTTCACTGGCAGAACGCTCGGGCCACCACAGTTGCCCCCAAAACGAATGATGTTGAGCTGGTGATGTCTACCCACCCCCTGAGGTCAAAAATAACCCTGATGTAGTGGTGAGATTCGATTTTTTTTTACTACCAGTTCTGTGGGTGTGGCTTGATGGGCATGGCAGGGGAAAGATACTGCAAAATCTTCCTTCCTACCCCATTTCAGGGGAAGGATACTGCAAAATCTCCATTTCTACCCCACTCTGGGGGCATCCAGAGGCAGCATTTGCCGGTTCTCCAAACTACTCAAAATTTCCGCTACCGATTCTCCAGAACCTGTCAGAACCTGCTGGATTTCACCCCTGCCCTGATGCGGCCCTCAACGAAATCAAGTTTGACACAGATGGTCCAGTGGTGCTGAACTGAATAAACCTAAATTGGTTGGGTTCACACAACATACTAACTTGTTATACTAGAAACCGAATGGCTGAGTTTACCCAATATGCCAACCAGAACTATATGCACAACACTTGGTTTTGTATAATATTTGGATCCAATTTTCACCCTGACTGAAAGGAAATGAGTGCACTGCGACCTTTTGTTCAATTACATTACACCAATATTTTTTCCCAGTTTTTTTTTAATTATTATCAACATTCAAGAAATAAACTAATCATTGCATTTCTGGGTCCTTATTCTATTCTATTTTATTTTTATGAGTTTTTCTTCTTGCAGAAGAGATATCTTACTGCTTAACTCCTATATATACCCTATACCATGGCAACTTGAAGAGGCATGGACTTTAACTTCCAGAATTCTACTGTCAGCTCTGGGGAATTCTGGGAGTTGAAGTCCATGCCTCTTAAAGTTGCCAAGGCTGAGGCTGGATAACTGCAACATCAAGTAACAGGACACATGTAGTATATGATGGTTATTGCATATGTTAATTCAATAGGCAGAACTTTCAAACAATTTCATTGCATCCCAGATGCTGTATTTTTAATTGGAAGTGGTTCAGACATTCAGCTGTCATTTATTAAATAATATTTTTAAGCTTCCAGATTTTATCATTATATGGAAAGCATGTTTTTATACTGCTTGTTATCTCGATATGCCATCTTGAAACCATCTGTCATAAAGTTTTCATATGTTTTTGAACTACTGTTTCATCCCATCTTTAAAAGATCTGGGAAATTATTTTTCCCTCTTAAGCTTTTTTGTTTGTTTATTTGTTTCTCTTTCCTTCCATCTCTTATTAGCTCAACATATCCAATGCCATGTAGGTTTACCATGTGAATCAAAACTTTATGGTGCTTTTGTGTAAAGGTAACTTAACCACATGAGCCAAAGTTTCATAAGGGATCTTAAAACACAAGTTGCATGCAAATTCTTCTCGGTAATCAGCCTTTATTTCTAGCTATTCACCACAAAATCAACAACTTAGCTACAAGATATTGATTTCTAGGCAATTCCCCAGATTTAAAACTAGGATAAGATTGACATTCTGTGTATCTTCCTGTACTCTAATTATATATTGGACATACAACATGCCAGAGATAAGATCAGACATTCTATCTATGGAGCTGAGCTAGAAAAATTTTCTTCCAACATGCTAAAAATTACAACTGCAACACATATTCAAGATGAAGGCACCATATATCAGTAATTTGGAGTAGCTACAAAACATTAGGATGATGTGTTGTCCTTTGATTAGCTATAGTAATATCCCTTTGATTACCAATGCTATTCAAAGTTTGCCCACCTTTCCTGTAAAAGCACTATAAAGTAATAGTAAAGTGTGCTTTACCTGAGCAAATCCATTGACTCCAAGGAATAAATATTGATTATTCAACAAATGGTGAAAAGGATAAATAAAGTAAAGGGTAAGTTTTAAACTAAGATCCTATCCAGCATATTTTCTTCTAGTCTGCATGACTTATTCCCTAATTTGCATCAGTGTTTTTCATCAAATTTTGACACATTATAACTGTAGCAATTACATGCACATTCCTGCTTTTCAGCCTTTGCTTTCAGATTTCATTTATCTGCATTCATGTTTAAACTTGAGCTGCAAACTTGTCAGCATGCTATTTCGTTAACTTTGTGCTCAAATCATTAACTTCTGACTTATTCAGCATTGAGATTTTTTACTATTTGATAGACCTACTTGATAGCAGCAATAGGAGTTACAAAGACATTTACATTGTTCTTCCTGTAATATTCCTGCAATCTGCGTGTGTGTGCGTGTGTGTTTGTGTTTGTTATACACACAATAAAGATCTGATGGCAGCAATTTAGCACCTTCCAAATGCCTTGGATTCTCATAGTCCTCAACAGACATGTGCCTTTTCCTGAACCATCTTTAGTAAACTGCTTGTTTAAAATCAGGGACAGTGGGAAAGATTCATTTAACCTACATAGGCAAACAGATTTCTAGATGAGCATCCTATAGTTGCCAAAACCAAGAACCAGAGGCATAAATTTGATGCTCATCCAAAGGTGACATTTAAACTGTCAAGAGTTTCTGATACAGAAGGTTCAAACAGTAAGTGTATTAAAAATTGGAAAGCCATATAAACAAAAGAATTATTTGTGTAACAGCATCCCAATATCTTCCCATGTAATATATGTTAATAAAGGTAAAGGTATCCTCTGTGTGTCCAATGGTGTCTGATGCTAGGGGGCAGTGCCCATCTCTGTTTCTTAGACAAAGAAGTGAGAGTTCTCTGAAGACACTTTTGTGTTCATGTGGCCAGCATGTCCCTACACTGAGGTGCACAGGATGCTGTTACCTTCCCTCCTAAGTGGTACCTGTTTATCTACTTGCATTTGCCTGCTTTTGAACTGCTAGGTGGGTAGGAGTTGGGGCAGGAATGGGAGCTCAACCCATTGTGCAGTGCTCGGGTTCTCAAATCCAGGTTGTCAGCTTTCCAGCTGACAAACTCAGTGCCTTTAATTGATGAGCCATCACATCCCTTTTAATAGCTAGATTTAAATCCTGGGTTTCTTCCATTTGCCTTTTTAGGAAAATCTCCCTTCTCTGGTCAAAAGAGTGGGGAGCTATGAAAAAGAAACTATGACACTCCTTTAATTCCCATTATTTTGTCAACTAGAAAACCGTTAATCCCAAGGGTGGGCTTCAAAAATTTTAGCAAGGGGTTCTCTGCCAGTTTGGTGGGTGGGCATGGCCATGATAGGCATGGCCTAGTTGGCCTCCTGCACCATGGTGGGAAGGGGGCATTTTTGCCCTTCCCGGGCTCTGGAGGCTTTCCTCAAGCCTCCAGCAGGGCGAAAAC